TCCAAGCAATGTCTCCTTCGGATGTATTCTTGCTAATACATTAGTTTATGTGTACATCCAGTTCATGCCATGCAGTTTTGGCTGCCATATGATGATTGTGATATTTTACTTCGGGCAGTTTGTACTCGTTCTAAAGAATCACATATATATTGGCGCCGAGAGCTGAAACCAAATACAGTAAGCTAGCGCCGACTTAGTTACATCCGATCAGCTCCTATGCTTCAATTCAGTTGCCATCATCACATGAAATAAGACTCCTAAAACCAAAAGAATTGCCGTTATGATTTGCTATAGCCGGTCCTCTTTCACACGCCCTCGATTTTTCAATATATCATACTCAACCCATCTCATACAGGTCGATCCTTCTTCAGAGATAAATCTTCCTGGATTCATGACATGGCACCCTTCGTAGGTCATACAGAATGGTGCTACTTCAGGATCAGCCAAAATAAACGCCGTCGGCAATGGGTACAGTTGCAACGATGCTGCATGATCCCACAAGACAGGTCGCATCGATAGCGGAAATGGGGACATCGTTCCCTGGTCTAATATTGTTTTCACTAGTTTTCGTGCTGTGTGCACACTGGAAAAAGATTGCTGAGCTTTTGCATCTGCCGGATGGGCCTGAGAATGAGTTCCATTACCAGCCGTGGCAAGACCAGGCTCGGTTTCCGGACCTTGTGGAACTGCCGAATCACACTCATTCTCGCCTTGCTTAGTAGCCACTGCGTTCCGCCTCAGCCTTCCTGATATGTCATCTCGAAAGATGGCGATCTCATGCAAGGGCCCAAAGACGGTGAGACGTGATGGATTGGAGGCCCAGATAGCTTCGCCGGCAGGCTCGGAAGTTTGCGATCGCCCCGACTCCGAATTTGCCGATGCAAACGCACGCTTTACCCTCGACGTAAACATATCCGGAACTGGCTGACGTGGTACTGTCGAGGCAGCGCCCGCTGTGAAGGCAGACGACCATGGATCATTATCGCCAGGGACGAAGACGAAAGTAGAGTGTCGTAAAAGTTCGGGATAGTCGGCTAGTACAATGGAGAATGAATCAAAGTACTCCTTGTACTCGATGCTGCCAGCATAACCGCCTCCGTTGATTGTGGCCTTCTGGACGAAATTCCCTATCACGACAAAGACTATTGGGCGTTCGGTGGGCGAAAGCTCACTATATGTACTGAAAACCTTCCTCAGCGCGTCAAGCGACTTGAAGTTGTCAAGATTAACCTCGCTCATAATAGCCACTTTCAGTCGTAGGGGCGAACCCGCGTCATCCTGCACACCTCGCAAACATTTCGCTTGGATTCTCCTCATTCGTGAGCCTTGTGCGCGTTCACACCCAATGCCTAGAAAGTCAACCCATCCAAACCCTCCGCTAGAGCTAATCTCTCCGTTGCTGTGCTGGTGATTCGTTCCCAGTGATACTTCCCGTCGTTCGCATGGAGGTCCGCAAATTGATACACCCACAAATCGACCCCCAATGGCGCCACCCACTCCGCTGTTTCCACCTAAGACTGATCCTCTCACACTTCCCTCTTCTTCATAGACTCCATCGACGAGAACTATCATTCCGGGAGCAAACCAAGCACCATCGTCTGGTATCGTCCGGGCATGACTCAGATCTAGCGCGACGCTACCTGTCAAATCGACCAAAGAGAGATCACCTGCGGGTGATATAGAGAGTAATCCTAGAAGCAGGTGTGACGTGCCACTTCTTCCAAGCAAGTTTGCAATCGGTGTCAACCTATAACATTGAGTGGGAGCGAATGAGGATGACGACCTCTTCAGGGAGTGGCCTGTGGAATAACTCAACGGTGTTTGAAATGACTCATTCCGGAGTAGGCGCTGATGAACAATGTTATAACGGTCTCTGAATGCGCTAGTCTTGTGTGAAGCTTGCGGGAACAATGTAGCCTTTGACTTTGTTAATTCGAAGTACTTTTTATCAACGTTGTAAGTCAAGCGTGGCATGTCGAACGCCTCGACAATCTTGATCCAATTTCTTGGGTGTAAAGATAAGTCCACGTCGTCATGTTCCTCATCGTTGATTGCTGGAGCTGGAGACAAGTGTGGGTTCAGTCGCCTGGCATCACAATTGAGGGCAGTCACATCTATCGGTCCTTCTCTTGTTGCATTCGATTTCGCAGGAACTACCCTTCCTCCACTCATGTTGCCCTCTAAGGCCATCAAAATAGCCTTCAATGAGGCCCCTCTGCCTTCCTCAACGATAACGCCGCCGCCGGCCTTTTTCCAACTTTTGGCTACCTCATCCAAGACTCGCTCCGCAAGGCCTTCTTCGCGCCATCCAGAGCCGCAATGTTTTCCTACAAAGGAAGCCAAAGTCTGCAGTGCTGAGGACGAGATGGTCAAGTTGTGCTTCCTGGTGAAAGTACGGAAAGCTACAGGTCGAAGCGTGGAGGGTGGAAGTAGAATTGGCAAGACTGATATCCTCGCAAGGGGAGGATTAAGATTCGATTTTCGTAAAGGACGTACAGGAGTGCCGAACCCTGGAGACGAAGAGAAGATGGGATCCGAGTCCAGACACCTGTCCCCAACAAGCGGTGTGTGGTCCATTTTTACTTCCGATGTGGTGGTAAATGCTTAGTCTCTTCAGAGATGTCTCGGGATTGAGGACCATATGAAAGTAGCTTCAAGGAGAATGAGCAGGTTATAATTCATCCTCTGTGAGTCTCACTGCTTTGGTCATGATAGAAAAGAAATAATCTGAAAAGGTAAACACGATGCTGGGCCAGAACGATTATGGGTGATCCAGATGACGATAATGATGATGATGATGATGATGATGATGATGATGATGCTGTTGTTGTTGTTGCTGCTTTTGAAAACTCGAAACACTATGTATGTAACTCGTAAGGTAATGGACCTTCAGAGAGACGCGTGGTTACGGGTGCTCCACATATGCATACGCGCCGTGAGTCCACGACTAGTTCTTAGGTAGGTTTGGGCTAAGAAACTTACTAATTCTCTGTGCCGATATACTTCGTCCTTCCAACGTTTCGCGAAGCAGAGCTCAGCTTTGCAACTCCATTTTTCCATTCTCATTTGGATGTGCTTCATTTCTCATCCTTTAAAAAGTGCCTGCTGATATCCCAAGCCTACTACCTCCCACGGTATCCTTGCCCTGACCGTCATGGCAGAGCTTAACTCAGCAAAAGCAGACCCAATAAAGCTGAAGAACACCGCAGATGCCAAGCGTGTACAGTTAGAAGATCTGATCGCGCGAGCTGCGGCGAAAGATGCAATTAAGGACTTCAATGCAGCTGCTGAGCTCTACTCCCAAGCTACGGAACTCCAAGCTGAGCTGAACGGTGAACTGTCACTCAACAACGCTGATCTGCTGTTCGCCTACGGCAAAGCTTTATACAATGTGGCGGTGAGCAAGAGCGATGTCCTAGGGTCAAAAGTAGGTGGAGAGCCTCAAGCTCAAACAAATGATCTGCCTGCAAGCAGCTCCAAATCATCCGCGCATGTGCCTGGCGAGAGCCTTCTCAAAACTGCGGTCGCTAGTGGGGTGGCTAAGCAAGGACATTCCAAAGATTCGAAATCCAGTCCTGTAAATACTTTGAATCAGCCCTTTTTCCAATTCAGTGGCGATGAGAATTTCGATGATTCGGAATCTGAGGCAGAAGAGGGCGATGGAGGCGCCGATGGTGTTGAGGATGACGATGACGATTTTGCCAACGCCTTTGAAGTCCTGGACTTGGCCCGTATACTCTACCACAAGAAGTTGGCCGCAGCAGAGGAATCATGTGACAAGGGAAAATCCGCCGGCGTGGTGTCCGATGTCAAACACATCAAGGAGCGCCTCGCAGATACGTACGATCTACAGGCAGAGATCTCACTTGAAGGAGAGAGATTCACGGATGCGGTGGCGGACCTCAGGACTGCACTTGATCTGAGGCAATCACTGTTTTCTATGGAAGATCCTTCCCTTGCCGAGTGTCACTACAAACTTTCGCTCGCACTAGAATTCGCATCTGTCAACAATCCCAGCGAAGGCACTGCTGGAGGGGACAGTGACCGTCATGACAAGGTTAATGAAGCTATGAGAGAAGAGGCTGCGACTCAGATGGAGAAGGCTATTGAAAGCTGTCGAGTCAGAATGGCCCAGGAACAGAAGAAATTGGATGTATCAGACGCCTTGGACGAAGACACAGAGACAGCTGTGAGAAGGAAAATAGCGAATGTCAAGGAGATCATTGAAGACATGGAGCAGAGAGTTAGTTCTCAAGGAACGTTCTATTTCTTTGTTGCTTGGTTACTCACGCATCACAGCTCCTAGATCTCCGTCGTCCGCCTATGTTGGTTGAGCAACAGAACGAGGGAAACGATACGATGTTTAGAGGAATTCTAGGCCAGATTGTAGGTCAGCCAGCTGTTGAGCAGCAAGCGCGACTGGAAGCTATCACAAGAGATGCCAAGGATGTATCTGCATTTGTCAAAAGGAAGCCAGCTAGCATCCAACGTCCGCCGCGAAGTGAATCTACGGAGAAACGCTCGGCTCCAGCACAGGATGAGGACGAGTTCAACACGAAGAAGGCACGGACGGAAAGTGCTGAAAATCTATGATGAATTGTCGCCCATCTTCGTTTCACCAGCCTTCCCTCGGTGGGGCCATACCCTGCTACGCTCCGGCTGGAGGATATGTTATAACTCGTTGCTTGATTGCCAGTTTGTTGATCCTCGTCTCACTATGGGGCTATTTCTTTTCTTTTCTTTCCTTTATTTTTTATTTTTTATTTTGACTTCCGCTTGATACCCAACCTTCATGTTATGCAGCGGCTTCATAAGTGGCTAATCTGACATATGCGCTTGGTCCAACGCTTCTAGACAGCTAATACAACCGTCGCTACTGTCATTATGATTCCAGCACACCACTGGAAAGAAGCTGGCGTGAAATGAAAGGGGTTAAACAAAATTATGGTTGTGAACATCATGCCAAGTCCCGAAATGACTTCTGGGTCTCAATATTCTCTTCAAGACGGGAACCGAAACAACGGGAGATGGCGATCCAACTTCCGACTCCTTCGGCGCACAGCCAAACTCGGACTCCATATCCCGGCAAATACGTCTTCGCACTCGTCCTCATCCTGACTGTCAAACTCGATGTGCTCATCGCGGTTTGTGTTTTCCTCGGACGCAGAGCTCAGGAGGCCAGGCGACACGGGTTGATTAGTATTGTACGGTGACTCCCATGATGACGACATAGCTATTCGTTTTGTTTCCAAGATAAACTTTCCGACCTTATATCGCTGGGACTCTTCCTCGGCGGAGACATACTTCCAGCCGAGCACATTACCGCAGAATGCACAACTAATGTCGCTGACTGTATGAAGCCCGGTGACGTATTGACGTGAAACTGGTCTCTGTATCACAGTGTTGGGCAGCGATTCAGCCTGCGAAGTCGACCCACTCATAGAAACAGCACTGGCGGTAGGCTCTGCAGAGACGAGGTACGCGCGGCCATGGCGACCAGTAAACCCTTTGCTGATGATTTGGGGCTTGAGGCACAACTCGGCTCCACATTTTGAACAGCGGAGACACGACACATGCCCAATGAGATATCTATTGTTTTCATTACCATGAGTATCTGCTTTCATTGTTGAGGGCACATGGTTGTCATTGTGGCGCCTTGGATGGAAGACTATGGACGGTAATAAGAATTTAGGGAACATGGGTGTAGGAGTTGGTGTTATTTTGTTGAGAGATTATACGCGGTGCGAGCTCAGGTAGATAATTGATTAAATGCTCTATAAAGACCAGACCAAGTTTGACTTTGCATCGGGTCACACTGAGGTCATAGACTATCCCACCATCCAAACTACTGACGTGCCGGGGGATGGAAACGCCTTTACAAATCAGAATATGTTTCACATTCATAATTCTGGGCATTAATATAACATGCAAATATGAAGACAGGATTACTGCCGAATTGGTGCCATTCAATAAGATATTCCAGGAGATTAGAGTATTAATGAGGCAAACACAATGCAACACCTATAACTACAAACTACCCACTTAAATTACATAGTAGTAACAAGGATGTATCACAACTTCTGTTTTGCTATTAGTATTGTAAATTTAGGACTGCACTCTCCCTGAGAGATATAAAAGATTGCTTTGCCAAAGGACGCCCGCAATATAGATCTTAATTATAGAGCACTCTAATTACATTGAAGAAGAAAGTCCCTTGTGAGTACTAATCTTCATAAAGCACAAGTTACGTAAAGAGATTACATTTGAAAAATGATTAATTCCTCTTTAGAAATGGGTGACACTGAGGTCAGAAGGTAAGGTGAAAGACGCCAGAAGTTCTGTAAAAATGACGGATCGACAAATGACTTGACATTGTCAAACCTCTGCACATAGGAAAAGCCATTTTGTGCTCAGGCAGAGCTCAACACACTGCTCAGGAATCCAAGATTTCAATGTTGTCAGATTAAAACCACACCATCCCAGGTTTCTCACAATCTCGGAATCTGTTACCTCCTGCGAACGGGGAATGCACGCAACAATCTGAGAACACTCAAACATAGGCATGTTGGCTAGCTCGAACAGGGCGATCAACCTGGAAAGAGAGAGAATATACGTCAGTCCCGAAGGAAGTCGTAAAGATTCCGCTGCAACTCTCATGGGATGGCAAGTACTTACCCAGCTTTGAGATTGTGGCCAAGCACACTGTCTTTGAAGAACAAGAACAATGTCCGCTCATCATCCATATCAGTCAAAAAACCTCGATAAATTGCATCGCCAACATAGTCCCAAACTTCGACCCAATTTCGAATTGGCCTTTTTTCACGGCTGGTCCAGTTCGGCCGGCTTTGGCACGCATCCATCCCAGGCGACTCTTGCTGCGCGAACTTCATCTCACCAATGAAAATCGCGCGCAATTTGTCGCAGAAGAGCCTCTCACACTCTTCCGGAATGGTATACGTTGCCTCCCCTTTGTATTCAGGCAATTGATTGCCTGGCCAGCTGCTCCCTAAGGGCGAAGGAACGGGTAGCGAGCGGGGAGGACTTGAAGAGGGGGTTTTCGACCCTGAGGGGACCTCAGGGATACCACTGTGCTCCTATACAATAATAGCAGATGTCAGCGTACATCATGATGCAGAATGTTGGATTTTAAGAGTGGGCAAATCTTACCGGCCCCCGTCGTGGTGCAGTAGTGGAAGCCGCTGACCATGGAAGTCAAAGCATCAACGCTGTAGCAGCTTGCGAGTACGCTAGGTTGGGAAGTAATGCCAAAGGACCGTTGAAGCTGGTTGGAGTTACTACTTTGATTATTGATGGATTTAGCCATAACGATAGCTCTCTTGTGGACTAAATCTTGACGGTGGCAGAGATTTGACAAGGATTTATTGTAAGTAGATATTATCCAGGTAGTGTTGGAAGAGCAATTAATGATATGATAGTAAGTACTGGTGCTTGATTTGGGGCAAATGGGGTTCCGGATAATGTCACTTTGCTGATTGAGTGCAGCGAGATAACAGGGGTAGGATCGAGGTTTTGATGAGGAGATGAATTCCGGGAAGTCATAGTCATACGAGGCTCCATCAGCAAAGGAACTCCGCCAATCTTGGGTTGTCACTAGGTCGCTAATTTATTACTCCGTCCTTGGTACGGAGTACTCCGTATCTACCTTAGCATACCTATTCCTAACCAGTGACTGGCCAGATCATTACTACTCGTGAGAATCGACTCGTCGACCCCCGAAATATTCTACCGAACTGATAAAAATGATTAGAGCAAACCAGTGCTGAATGACCGTATTATAGAGAAACAAAGCTTGCTAGAGAACAAAAATGTTGCTAACGATTCTGTAAAGGTAATTTTACACTTCATCGCGGGGCAGCTACAGAGTCGGTCTTCGTATCCTGTATTCTGCTGGATCCCCTGATAGTTTCGTGCTCAGGTGTCAAACATTGGCCCAGTACTAACTATAACGTACTTGCGTATCACAACACTTCCAGGTTTGCTTGGACTTTGCTGGTGGTTTGAGTATAAAACAAACTTCTGTGGATCAAACGAAACGATCCCTTTTAGAACATTATATGAAAGCCCGTAAAGGAAAATTTTCCATTCGCTGAAATTGAAGGAGAAAAAATGAGGAGGACTCGAGACTATGTACACTCCGAGGGTCTCTGAGAAAGAACCGACAGGAATAAGAGATGTGGAAGTGATGATACAACATGCTGCGATGTACATGTATCCTACCACACGCTCTTATAACTCACGATAATCGCTTGGTCTTATTCTTCGGTGTCTTCCTTGGTGTCGCTGAGGATTCACGGGTTGTCTGAAATATGGGGAGTCTTCTTCCCTCGCGAATGGTGAGCTAAATGAAGTCCGTTGTTGATTTGAGAAGTGGCCAACGCCTGGTCCCTGCTGAAAACCCGCATTTGGGGGAATCGGCCCCGCCATCTGGTTCATGCCCATCATCTGCATCGAGGCATTTCCCATGTTGGAGTACATGTTTGCTTGACCGTATCCATTCATTGCACCACTCTGTTGACTACCATAAATGCCATCTTGACGGGAATCGAATCCCAGAGTATTCATTGGATTCCATGCTTGATTCATATTATTTGGGAAACCATTTGTAGGAAGGCCCAAAGGATTCATAAACCCCATTCCTCCGCCAATGAACCCAGCCTCAGTGAATGGCATTGTAGGCATGCTTTGCGGATTCATAAAGCCAAAACCAAAAGGCATTGGCTGGTCGTGGGTGATGGATGAGACCTCATTCGAAGAATCCTGAGTTTGTGGGGTTGTCGACACGGTGGCCGCCTGGGCAATGGGATCAGCTTTTTGCTTCTTGTTCGACGGGCTCAAATTCGATCCTTCGTGGTCGGTGCTCGGGGGCTTTTCGTCTGCTGGTCTTTTCTTCGTGGCCGGGTCCAGAGCGCCGTTGACTGACGGCAATGCTGATGGCTCCTTTTCCGCAGCGACAGTTCTCTCTGAATCAGACCCTTTACTGTTGGATGAACTATCATGCACTGTGAGATTTTTCTGCGTGTCTTTTCTTGAGTCCGCTTTTTCATCCTCAAAGGCTTTGATTTTCGAAACAGCCTCATCATCCACCGAAAGATTGTCAAGCAAAACACCTTCTGTGCCGCAGCCAGGGCAAACAAAATCACTCTCAATCAATGCATTGGTAATACAATCATTGCAGTAAGTTCGGTGGCAGCATGGTGTCTTAGTGGGCTCTAGGAACATACGCTTATCAATAGGGCACTCCAAACCCCAGGACTGCAATTCTTTGCTGTACTCCGCTGCTGCCGCTTCTGCCGCCGCTGCTGAAGAAGCTTTGGCCTTCTCCTGGTACAACTCCCAAGCTGCTTTGTCTGGCTTCGCAATGACGAAATCACCATCAGCATTAACCATGACACCTGTATTTCGAAGGTCTTCATTCGACCCATCAAGTGCCAATGATTCCGGCTTCTCAACCTTCGTTTGGAGTGACCGTGGTATACCAGTAGATCGCTTCACTCGGTATTTGCCATCGAATTTTGGATCATTGTTAGTCGGACACGCCTGGATCCAGTGGCCTAGACAAACATATCGGTTAAACCCTGAATCCCAAATTCAACATTGGTTGTCTCACCTTTTTCCCGACAGCGGTAGCAGAGATATCCAGGAGGCGGCGGGTGATCAGGAACATTGACGGCCTTTCCTCTCCCACGACCGAAGGGTACAGGCGTAGCACTATTGACGTCCATTAGCACTACATCGGCATGCAATAGGTATATGCATACTTTGCCATCTCCTGTTGTTGCTCTTTCCATTGGCTAGCTTGCAGGTTGAAAAGAGCATTAATCTTCTCCTCCTCTGTCTGCGCGTTATTGAGCTCTAAAACGCTGTTGCTCACTGTGTTGCTAGTATTTGATATAGCTCGGGTCGACATTGAAATATCATTACGAGGCGCGCTGCGAGCGCTAACGGGCATTTTCCCAGATACATAACGAGCAGCGCCGCCTTTGCCAGGCCGAGAGGCAGGCAACCTCCGAGCGACAACAGAAGTGGAACGGGGAATGATCGTGGTATCATCATCATACTCTGCAAGCATAGTCAGCGATGACGCTTTTTTTATTTCCTTTTTTTTAATAAAAAAAAATTTTTCCCTGGTTTTTCCTCCAAACACCAGCCCGAAGAGAAGTAATGGGGACGAAACCACAGAGCTTACCTTCGCCTGTATCTTCATTGTAAATAGACAGTTCAGAATCCGACCCATCGCCCAATCTACTCTGATTGATAATTTCACGTTTCAATTCAAAAACAGAAATACCGGTCCCGTCGAAAGTTACCCTTGAAGGCTCTTTTTGAGACTTGAACTTGAAGTGAACAGAGGATGACATTGTATTGAATTGCGCGTCCAGCAAGTGAGTTTGTGAATGTAATTAGATCAAAATAGAAAGGGACGACACTTTTCTTCAAATTGAAGCATACAAGTGACAGGAAAAATCACGGAGAGAAAGGAAGAAACACTGAATTGGATGGCAGATCGCCAATAACAGACGGTGACTCAATTTTCCTCTCTTCAGGTAAGCCCAGAGATCACGAAGACGGGAGTGGAATGGCAATGCTCGATAACTGTACTTTCGAAAGATTTCCCTTCGGCCCAAACAGTAACTGTTGCGAGTTACTGTATACAAATAAACTCGGACCTGTTGATGATGAAAGTTGAGCAGCAGCTGATCTGCAGTGAGGAACAGTGAGTCAGAGAATTCAAAGCTCTTGCCAATCCAAAGACCATAGGAAGGTCACAAATGTCCTGCTTGCCCACGAAACCTGACGTCCGGAGCTATGCCCTGAGAAAAATGTCCGCAGCGAATGAATAATTTATGCGCCCGGAGATTGACTACTGACATGCAATCCTGAGATGATAGCAAAATGAGGGAACTGGAGTTGAACGAAGTGAAGAGCACTGGCTGTAGATCCGGGTGGCGTTCCTGGGCCTACTGGACAGTCGCCAGTGTTCAAATAATGGAGGTAACAGAATAATATGAACGAGGTTCAAGTCACATTAACAGCAAGCAGCAAGAAGGAGAAGAGTGGTCTATAGTGGAACTGAATTATGTTAAGAGAAGGGAGAGTGTTGTCCTTCAACACGGACGGAGGGGAACCTGAAATAATGATTACAGTATCTACTCCACGCGTGGATGAAATTTGCTGTGATGAGTTGAGGCGTTGGTTTGGTCATGTGACCTTGTTTTATAAGCAACTGTGACCCTACATCATGTGACGCGTCCTTTCAGTCCCTAGGCGATCGCTGCCATGTACCTCTCTAGGTAGGGCTGGATAAATCGAGATTTCCCGTTTTCATGTAAGAATTCCGTATCTGAAAATAAATATCGACGCAATGGGCATCATTTGGTGTAATTTTGATGTGAGTCATTCTACCTCTCTATATACAGTTAAAAATATAGAAGCATTGACTCAAGCACGCCGCTCTTCTCTGATCGCGAACTCTATTAGCTGGAACTTCATAATACTGCCTACAATGGGGTAATAAGGGCGCAAGATGGGCGGCCGTCAAACTGTATGCCATCATTCGTCGCTTTCGGAGTTGCGGACTAGAAATCCCTCGTTCCGAAGGTGTTCCTTGACCTGCCCAACAGTAAACTCGCCACGGTGGAACTGTGGCCTCGTTAGCTGAGAAGTAACGGGACGATGAAGGCGGCTCATACCATTCCAGCACCTAATGCCGCATCGGTGGTTGTATATCGGAAGACATCTTCGAAATGCTTTGGCACACCAGCCCCGCTTGAAGCAATGACAGGGATTTTGATAGCAGCCTTGACATCGTTGATCAACTCCAGGTCAAATCCACTGTTACTTCCGTCCTTGTCGATACAATTCAGTAGAACTTCGCCAGCACCCATGGCCTCAACAGCCTTCACTAGCTGTCGGACGTCAATATCACGACTCTCTCTGCCACCCTTAATTGTGCACTGATACCAGCAATAAGTCTGGCCGCTAGCGTTCGGGTACTTCGTTTTGATCGTGTGGTGCTCGGTGTCATCCGGGCTTGTGACATAAACTCGCTTGGGGTCAACGCTCACAACCACAGCTTGGTTTCCATAAGCCTTCGAAATTGTCTCGATGGCAGTTTTTCCGGTAAGCTTTTCGCCGCGACGATAGTACTCCTCAGCTGCAATGACTGCATCCGATCCAATGCTGACTTTATCGGCCCCAGACTTGAAATACATTGTAGCAACGTCCAGAGCAGAAATGTGAGTCCCGTCAGGATCGATAGTGTCCTTGATACCGCCTCCAATTGTCAGAGGAACAAAGACGGTCTCCGATGTCCTTCTCAATATTTCCAACATTGGGGTATCTACGAGCGGGCAATTCCGAAAAGACGTGATATTGAGGAAGGTGACCTCGTCCGCCCCTTGCTCGTAATACCTCTTTGCCATGTCAACCGGCTTTCCCAGATTTCTTACCTGACCTCCTGCGTCCACGCCGACCTTCTCTCGCACATCGTATTGATCACCTTTCGTGACGACCAGATCACCAGCATCATTCGTACGGACATCAAGACAGGCGATGATCCTGCGGGTCAACCCGTCTTCCCTCTTTCTTGCCTCCAGACCCTCCGTTCCGATTGGCTGGTATTTGTCACCATTCAAGAACGCACGGAGAGTCCGTAGTCCAGCTTGTCCGCTTTTCTCCGGATGAAACTGCGTTGCAAAGATATTTCCCCGAGCGATGGCGCCAATAAATTCTTCATCACCGTACGTGGCCGTAGCAACTGACCAGCCATCGTTCTCTAATACGCCGGCTTTGTAGAGAGCTGCGAAGGAATGAACGTAGTAATACTTGCTGTTCGGGTTCAACCCATAGAAAGTTTGCCGCTCAGAGGTTGTATTCATAGCAGAATTCCAGCCTATGTGAGGCACGCTCTTCGTGTCAGCGTTGAATTTCTGCATTCGTTGTGGGATCAGCCCCAATCCGGGGGTGTCAGTATCTTCTTCAGAACCCTCGAAAAGCGCCTGCAGACCAACACATATACCCATGAAGGGCTTCCCCAGCTCTATATGCTGTCTGATCGGTTCCAGGAAGCCACCTTCGGAAAGCTGAGAGAGGCAATGGCCGAAATGGCCAACTCCGGGTACCATGAGTCTCTACGATTGGCATATGTCAGCTGTGAATCGTGCAGCAGCAGAAACAAGACTATCAACAGAGAAGAAGTGCGCACATCGGCATTTTTAATATCGGCTGGGGACTTGATCCATTCAACATCGAACCCGACTTTGTTAATTGCATTCACCAACGAGCGGACATTTCCTGCGACATAATCGAGCAGGTGAACAGTCGGCATGGCAGCAGTCCGGTACCTCAAGCCGTAAGACAAGGTGCTGTGCTTCAATACTAAAGTCGAGTAGAGACCGGATCACAGGCTCTGTCTGGCTTGGGTAAGCCCGCAGACATTCGGGGACAGAGAGATTGAATGAAAGTGGCTTGGGAAGAAGAATAATCACCCTCCTCATTTATTGTCAAACATCACTCCCCACCACGGCGGGGGCATTTAGCTGAGTCATTATTCGAAATGATACTTTTTTTTTTTTTTTTCCTGCTCACATCAATAGTCTAGACAGCCGACCGCCTTACAATCCACTTTCTCACTTCTGCTACTTTGGGTTCGCATAGTCTGAAGCTAGCTGAGATTGCAGTCTAGTAGTAGATTATTGTACAAGAGTATATTCTATCCAGAAGTGACCTTACCCTGCTGGTCGGCCCTTGTGACGCGGCAGACATTGGAACCCACTAAGGTATGAATGGGATAATAACCTGTCCTGACCAATGGAAACCAATGCTGCCCTTTATTTGTTATTTTAAAATCTATATTCCTTTACTGTAATGGTTCATGCAAAACAATCTCGAAATGTTGAGTCAGGCGGTCTGTGGATATCGCTTGGCCGAACTAAACGCTATATCATGAACAAGCGCTCTATAAAATATCATTCGCACCGGAAAGACTGACGATCAATGGCAAATCTGAAGCAATGTTCTGAGAATTTTGGAGGTAGACGAGGCCGTTTCGAGGCTGCATTTGTGTAAGCCCTTTTTGTTGAGTCCGGAAGGGACCGTGTAGCTTACCGGGGAAAACTGTCTCAGACATACTCCAGCAGCTTTCAAGATCGCAGCACTCTGCCTCCTGTTAGCTGCGTTTACTAAAGTGTGGTGATTCAGACAAACTTCTTGGTCCATATTGTATCCTTGGGAATACACGACTTCCGATATACCGACTTGGGCGATCTTGACTGTACACGTCAAGCAAGGGCATCTATGGATCATCAACATCTGGAAAGCAACGAGCAGGGGCTGGGGAATCTGACGTATCGCAATAGAGTATTGAGCCTTCACGTATACGCTCTCGGCCTGCTTCCAACAAAGCGTTCTCTTCAGCATGAAGGCAAAGGCATGTCGATAGACCAACACCTCCTCCTTCTCCACGATTGCATCGTGGACCTGGTCGATGTAAGTTTCTCTTACAAAAGCACGAGAAGATCAAAGGAAAGCTGCAAGCCTTCGGGAGATTTCATACATCCACCTTCGTTGCAGTTGGTAAGATGCCGAGGAGTCCCGTTGTATCCGGTGCTAATTACACGGCGCTCCCTAACAAGCACACAGCCCACTCTTCTCTTCATGCAATTGCTTCTCTGCGCGGCGAGTGAAGCTAGTTGCATGAAATACTGGTCCCAATTTGGACGTAGACGTTGCTCATCGGCGAGATTCAGGGCTTCTAGAGCAGCATGCAGTTCCTCCAAAGAAGAGCATGAGTTGAACAATCGCACTTGCGCACGATCCGTCAGATAGGCGCGTCCGATTTCTTTATCGTAAAGGTGCCGATCGTTCCATAAAACAAATCTTTCAAGCGGAGGAGGATCAAGCTGTCTCCTTCGGCACCTAAAAATGGAGTGAAAATATTATTTCCATACAGCATATGTTGTTGAAGGCATAGGGTCTTGGCAGGGGAATTACCTATCTGTGAACCGCTTCCACCGAAGACTAACTGGCGCATCAACGCTCACTAGGAGGAAAAATGGTCGTTGAAGAAAACGCTCTATGGTCGCAGCATCCCAAATATCCGTTGTGACCCAGCGCTCCCTCCATCTTTTCGTTGCAAAGTCTAGGAGGGATTCGACGCTGTCGAATAATAATTCCGAATTCCTCTTGGTGCTGAGTTCCGAAGCTTGTAACCGAATATCGTCTTCCGGGTCATCAGTTATCCGAGGGTAGTTCTTGTTGTTCAACTCAAGTAGTTGGAACTCTTGATGTTCAATGAGGTAATCTGCGATGGCATGCTTGCCTGAGCATATTCCTTTCCCCTCCAGTGTCATTAGTCCATCATGCTGTGGTATATTTTCGTCACGAAGGGTTCATACTAACCTCCACACAAGCCAATCAGCATTTCTTGGCCCTGACAGGAAGCTGCAAAGGATGCCTGGTGAGATTCGTGTGAAGCGGTGGGTCCTTCAATCAGTATGGTAATGAATTGTTTTCTCCTATTACCCCATTACAGGCTGATTCTGATACCAGTGAGCTATCCAGTTGATTTTTCAAACACAATCGCAGGTAGCCAGAGGTACGTAGAACCTACAGATAATAATAATTGAGAAGATCCGAATTATAAGCAACGGCCTAGCCGCATATGATGTACTTAGTGGGGTAGTGAGAGCTTAGCGGCATGAAGAATGTATTATTATCAACAAAACCCACATCGGGTAGCCTCTCACTATTGTTTTAATATATATTGACATCTAAGGGTCCAGCTAGAGGTAAGTTAATAACAACAGAAATCAGAAATACAGCACAGACCACATAATAGCATTAATACCTAAATGATGAAGATACTGAGAAGGGAAGAGCCTGGCAGTGCAGAGTATCTGGCAACACCAACCAGACAGTTGATAACTTAGTTCGCTGCGTGGGTCAACAAAACAACTATGAATAAGCTGGCGAATTCCCAAACAAGAAGGCAGGGAGACTACCCTAGTCTGCACCATCCATCTGCCATCCCGTCTAAATATTCCTGGCTCTATTACGGAGTAGTCTGTGAAGATACTATGCCTGGTATTATAGTAGATAATAGTAGATACTACTGCCTGTTAACCCCTCCGCGAGATAGTAGATTGGGTATAATCTACCTCTCTAGGTATGCGCGTAAACTAAGGAGTGAATAGTAACATCTTACAGAGCATAAAAGAGCAAACTCGAGAGGATGGTAAGGATTTACCGGCAATAAGAATGATCTCAAAGTAGATATACATCGTTTACTCTGTACAAGTGATCTATCTCAAGCTATCTAGTATATTTTTTATTGTCGGAACTTCTGGGAGTAATGGACGAAGTGATGGATTGTGGATAGGGTTGGCCCATGATCATTATCATTTCTGACCTAGTCAGCTGGTCAGAAATGATGAATAACAGGGAAGAGGAAAGGTTCACGTTGCTGTATAGCACTTAAGATCTGTATGTATGGACTGCCTCTTGTAATATGCTACCTTATAAATCTGGGAAGTTAGCCTTCCGCCTTATCAGCCCCGCTGTCATTTATTACTGCTACCTACTTTTCTCTACTTCCTAAGTATTATTACCCCACCGTTTGATACAATTGCACTTGAACAGTTTAACGCTCGTCATCATAATCAGAGTCCTTATTAGCAGAAGCAGATCCAGATATACCTGCGGCTCACTCATTAAATTATTGAGATAGGGCCCAGGGTCCTAGAACATCCGCCCAACGTTATAACCATACAAAATGCAGTACGCTCCATTTGCCTCGGACATTGAACTCCCATTCTACACAGCTCTAGCTACATTGAAGATAGACCGTGACAAACTCGATGACTCTGCTCGCAAAGTATTAGGCCTGTACGAACTGCGCCCTACAGACACACCGAATAATTCTTGTCGGATGCAGATACATGGAAATGCCCTCACCAGCGACGAGTGAGTCCATAGTCGGAGCTCAACTTCTACTTCCTTTTACAATTATATCAGCGATATGTAGATCCAGAGGGTATGGTTGCTAATTGATCATGGATTACACCAGGGTACCGGAAGGTTATTACAGAGCTGAAGGGACGATCAAAAATTTTAATACTTTTGAAGAATACCGCGACATTGATAAGCCTCAGATGTTGCAACAAGCCGGGCAAACGGTCAGCCTCACGGTGCAAAAGGGTCAATGAAGTTTACTAATGATATTCCCATAGATACAAGATGCCATAGAGGACGGCAGCATCTACTTGTGTCCGTCAAAATTGTCTTCCTTCATGATACTGTCATTCGCGGATCTCAAGAAGTATAAGTTCCACTACTGGTTCGCGTTTCCTGCACTTCATTCAACCCCTTCCTGGACTCCTGTACCAAATGCTGGGGAGATCATCGGCGATACTCCGGTTGAACCGATTAATAGGGCATCATTCAAGGCCTTACCCACTTTTGAAAGTTCGACTCTTGTGGAAGCAGTGCAGACCTGGTCCCGCAGCGTCGAAGCTTGTCAGCGAGGCTTCTTCCTTGCAAGGAAGTATTGCGAGTTTGATGGCAGAGCTGGGCATGATGCCAGGGGGACGCCCGAAACAGCAAGTGGGACACTGGTGGCGAGTTCACAGCAGACCGCCGGACACAACTGGAAGATTGCTTCTCTAGCAAGTTATGAGAGCGGGTTTTTCGATGGGGCGCAATTCGAGGATAGCTTCATTTGTTTTGCCGATCCTTCGAACTACGACGATGCGCCGGGTTGGATGCTGAGGAATCTACTATTTCTCATCAAGCGGCGTTGGGGTCTACGAAGAGCCCAGATTTTGAGGTATCGCGATACACGTCGCGAAATGGATCGCAGCATGGTAGTCACATTGGAATGCAAAGCTCGGCCGGTGTCAAAGCCGGCGAGTTCTCCTGAAACAGTGAGCGGTGCGCCCAAAGTAACTGGCTGGGAACGGAATTCAGCGGGAAAGCTGTCAGGGAGATTAGTGGACCTTACAGAGTACCTAAATCCTAAGAGGTGAGCAGTTTACGGGATGTATCACTCAAGGTGTTTGTGTGCGTCTAACTCCGCTGCGCAATGATTAGGCTGGCGGACCAGTCCGTTGATCTCAATCTGAAACTCATGAAATGGAGGATCAGCCCTGATCTCGATCTTGAGAAGATCAAACGCACCAGATGCCTCTTACTTGGAGCTGGGACGTTAGGAAGCTATGTTGCTCGAAATTTAATGGTACGTCTTCCCATATTTCTATTGAATAGACATTCACCGAACTGCTGGCTCTCTAGGCTTGGGGAGTTACGAAGATAACGTTCGTGGATAACGGAAACGTATCTTTTTCAAATCCGGTGAGGCAGCCACTTTTCAACTTTAAAGACTGCCTAGAAGGTGGCGCTAGAAAGGCAATTCGAGCTGCGCAAGCACTGTCGGAAATCTATCCTGGTGTTGAGGCTACTGGGCATGTTCTTTCGGTGCCAATGGCTGGCCATCCCATCACAGACACGGAGAAGTCACGACAAGAGTTCGGTATTCTCAAGGCTCTAGTAGATGACCACGACGTTATTTTCCTTCTCATGGACACGAGAGAATCACGCTGGCTCCCAACAGTCATTGGTAAGGCGGCGGGGAAGATTGTGATGAATGCAGCGCTTGGATTCGATTCTTTTGTGGTCATGCGACACGGCGTCAGGAACGATGCAGACCCAACATTAGAGCTTGGCTGCTACTTTTGCAATGACGTAGTTGCGCCGATGAACGTAAGCCACCATTCCCAAGGCTCGGTGTCTCTATGCGACTGACTATTTTTTAAGTCTGTAAGAGACCAGACTCTTGATCAACAATGCACCGTCACTCGACCAGGTGTAGCCACGATAGCGTCGGCCTTGACGGTTGAGCTGCTCATTTCACTTCTACAGCACCCTCAAGGTGCTGCGGCCCCAGCTGCTTCGCCAAACGATGACCGCGGCTCTCACCCTCTTGGTCTAGTGCCACACCAAATCAGGGGATTTCTTTCGTCCTTCGAAAACATTTCGGTTATAGGAAGAAGCTATGACTGTTGTAGCGCCTGCTCCATGAATGTCATCAAGGCATACAATGAGCAGGGCTGGGAATTTGTGGTAAAAGCCTTGAACGAGCCCGGATATCTGGAGGAGTTGAGTGGCCTTAGGGAGGTCAGTCACAAGAAGCCTCTTTTAACCTACCCTCTATTCCTCGTCTTGCCTTTCCCTGTTCCGCGCAAATCACCCACCCCCGACCCAGAAATCTCTCGGACTGGCCATCAAGAAGGCGATTTCTGTTTGAGATGGATGGCTGACACAACAGAAGGTCCAAGCAAGAGCAGAAGAAACGATAGATGACATCGAGTGGGACGAGTCACTCGAGAACGAGGAGGAGATCATCTAGGAATTTGGTGATCCGATACCAAGTGCGTACGGCAGGGCCGGAGAAGGAGATAAGAGCTACATCTGGCTCGTGGGTTCTGATTTAGGACTGCATGAGGACCTCATTCTTCGACGCGTTATTTCTTCTGTCGAGGCCAACAAAGTACGCTTCCCTTGATTCCTGCGCAAGTTAGTGCGTGATGACGATAGCAATACTCGATATATCCGGCGCGTACGTTGCGTGAAGACTCTGGCTTGATCCTGTGCACTCTATGGAAGAGTGCTTTGAACTGTCTCTCTAGTTCTTTGTCCTCGACCCCTTGATAAAATTTGCAAATGAGATGACCTCCAGTCCTTAAGGTGTCGAAGCTGAATTGCAATGCGGCACGGCAGAGGTCCTATCAGGTCAGTCAAATATGTACGATAAGTATGACGATATTTTGTTGGAGTACCATGCTGCCGGCGTGATCTCGAAAATTCACGCCGCTTGTGTTCATCATCCTATTATAAGGGTCACTTAGACTTCGCTTCCAGAAGCCGGTGGTTTGGAACCAGGGAGCACACATATCGCTTAAAACCACATCTACTGTTCTCTCCGACGCGGCATCATTTTGGGGAAGATTGCCCGTATCTGTTCCGATGCACTCGCTATTATGCTCGAGGCTCGCGGTCGAACTCAGGGTCGTATTATTGTGTTCGTCTCCGTCACATGGACCAGGGGAACGCGGCCTGCCTCTACAAGGATCGCGGAGGAACTCACGAACGTAGGCCTGAATATCTGGAGCAAGGAAGTTGCCCTGTATGGTAGAGACGCCTTTGGGGGGCTGAGCTGGGATTATGTCTACGCCCAGGACTCGACCGTTCGGTTGAGTTCGAGTCGCTGCCACCTGCGAGAGTTAGATGTATATCAAAACTGCTGCGAGATCAAACAGACCTGAGACCAAGAGCCGGGGGCGTATCCCTGATGAGAATATCAGAGGTCAGCCCGGATGCCCAGACTTAGAAGTGACAGGGGCGGTATACCAGATCCACTACTGTTTGCCCACTCTTGAAAATGTGATATTTCTCATCGATCTAAAATTACCTGTGTTTAGCATACAGGGAACAGTAAAGCTCGAGTAATCCATACCTGCAATAATTTGAATGCTGCACGGCTCTTCAAACCTTGTACTGCCGCAGCCCTCGTAAAATGGTCTTTGATCTGACGTGCTTGCCATCTCTTCGAGGATGAATGTCTCTTGAATATGAGGAGAGACGTTATATCACTGATCTCGAGTCTTATAGTCTTTATTGGGCGGGACGAAAAGAACATGGTGCTGGGATCTTTGAATGTGAGGCACCCAATTTGATTGGTGTCTGCGGGAAATTTTGGATGGTGCAGTATTATTGGATTGAGCCGTCCTTGATTATCAGGTGTGATACAATATAGATACTCCAACTCTAACCCTTCCCTGAGGATGGAAGTGGCGAGGACAGGAAAAGAAAAAGTACCAGTAGATAAACTCTGTAGGTAGTATACCTCTAGTAGGTAGTGCTTTAGTAGTTGTGTTCAAAGAATGTAGGACACTAAGATACTGTAGTAACGGGTGTCATGTGAAAATCCTGGATAAGGGTGGAGAGCTATTGAGTAATCCATCAACGACAATGATAAGGTAGTACGGAGGTGTGGTGCAGAACTCATTAGCCGCTAGTAAGCTTGGCAAGGTAATAAGACCAAGCAACATTACATAGTAATTTATATGGTAGCTTACGTCGATTGATTTCAACTCCTAAGAATTGGATATTGAAGCTATTCAAACGGCTACAAAATATCTTCCCAGGCTAGATCACCGATATCTTGCCTATAAGAGATAGTACCCTTTGCTCGATGACCCTTCTAATCATGATTATCCTTGTCTGTTCGGCCCTCCTGATATTCATTACCTCTGTCTAGATTAATGATGATAATATGCTTTATATCAATACCACAGTAGGCTAAAGTCAGGGCCTGCACGCGCATGGTAACTGGATGATAAGATCCACGCATCTTTGATGGCTTTAATGGCTTTGAGGGCTTTGAGGAGGGCTTAGAGGAAGTAGGCAGGCTGAAAATATGGATAGTAGGGGAACACTGCATTGAATTCATCTTAAAGAGAGAAAAAGGGGTTCTGTATAGCTTCAAATTACTTTTTTTGCCCAAGAAATGATAGATAGAGAAGTTGAAAAGTATTATTTTAGAAGGATTATAGGTCTCTATAGTAATTTTAGTGTATAGCTATTTACAGTGGAAATGCCAAGTTTACTAGCGGCTAATGAGTTTTGCACCACACCTCCGTAATAATGATAGGTCTTGTCTATGTCAAAGGGTTTTAAATACTAAACCTAGAGTATAGATAGGTATCATCCCACCCCCTATTTCCTTTCATTAAAGACATGCTGTTCCCTCTCCGAACCAAGTCTTAATTAATTGACACCAAACAGCTGCAAAATTAGAGCTACGCATTGTAGACAGTTCGGGATGTAAGGGGTACACTGCCCTAGATATAGCTCAACTAGGTTACTTGCCTTTCATGCCCTTAACCATACATGTAGTCAATCCCATAGACCCTCAGTAACACAGCGACTAGTCTAATTATTGTTCCTCATATCAATCTGGAATTCACGTTGTGGTTTGATACATAGGTGGCGGGCTTTTTACTTTCAATAAATGACATTCTGTAGATCAAGCAGTTCATGATTTATAAATGAGAGCCATTGGTCAACCCCTCGGTCACTGCACTTGGAACGAATGCTTGCCAGCGTCTTATGCAAGTAATGAATCAGATATCGAAACCTCTCCAACGTGAAACGTGAATCCGCAATCATGAAAGAGGAACGCAGGTAAACAATGAAGTACAGCACTACTAAAATCAAGGACTACCGCTATGGATAAACATTACATTTCTTCAAGGTTTCCCACTGCCTACATTCTCTTTCTGTCTCGCTTTAACGGGGAGAATCCCGTAGCAAAACCTCGGCCGTGCATTATACTGGATTGGGCGGTTAACTGTATTTCGTCTCGGGAAGTTCGTCCAGAACCAGGAGCAAGTTTACGCCCTGGCTTTCTGATGTCCTGGTTGTCCGGGTCTTCTTCATCCTCAAACAAGTTCCTATCTCGCTGGTACCCCAACTTACGCCTCTTCAATTTCATCTGACCATGACCAGAGGCCCTGTTCTTTGAAACATCGTCACCTTCTGCATGGTTTTCGGCATCAGTCTGTGGGGAGCGTGACCTGGACATTGCTTTGCCCATTTTGGACTTGGTACCAATATGGTGGGATAGTTTCAACCGCTTTGAAGACGGTTGCCCCCTGGACAACAGCTCGTCGTCTTGCTGTGGACTGCTGATAGTTGCATTCTCAGCGAAACTCATTTTGTCACTGGAGACTTTTCCAGGCGTCCCCGCGCACACGGTGACCGTGTGTAGCTCATTTAAATCGTCATCAGAACTAACCGAAGGATTTTGAGGTTCACTCGCGCGTTTCAAAAATGGAGTAATCGAGAAAGACGATTTATCGCCAGGCAAAGCTGTTGGTTGCTTGACGCCTTTATTCGAAGACTTGATCGCCCCTGGCGTTGCAATGGTCAGTGCGGGTACAAATTGGGTGCCCATTGTTCGATTAGAAGCACGAGATTTTGCATGGGGCTGAGGACTTTCGGTTGCTTTGAGATTATTACACCGCTGTTGACCATTACTCTGAGCTTCTTGGAGTTGATCTTTGACTTGCCGCAATTTCCGATTGAGATCTTCGATCCTCTCTTCAAGAGCTGCGCGCTGAGCTTCGCTTTCATGTCTTTGCTGACGAGCACTGCGCTCTTGTCGTTCCCGAGCCTGTATTTGCTCTGCAAGTTCCTTACGTGCTTCCTCAAGTCTCGAGGACAAATTGGCAATTTCCCCTGCCTGACGAGTCTCTCGGGACTGAACACGTTCGTGGGCGCGCTTTTCATTCTCCAATTGCTCTTCGACCGTAATCAGCTGACGCCTCAATGCCTGTTTTTCGGCGACGGTATTCTGGGAAGAGATGCTTTGTACCCTAAACCGCTCCGCTTCTAATTGCAAGTTGGAAAGTTCTTTCGATAGGCGAATATTATCGTCTACTAATCTCTTAGATTCGACGGCAGTCTTGCCCAGCGAAGCAAGTTCGCCCTATCATAAAAGTTAGAGGCGATGTTCCACTAGGTCAAGGTATAATGGCAACATACTCGAAGATTCTCTATTTCATGTGACGAGGCAGCGAGTATATTCTTTAAGCGATTCACTTCATTGAGGGTTTTATTGAATTGGACGCGTAGGCACGATTCAGATTCTCTGGCTCTGACTAATTCTTCGCTGGTCTCCTCTAGCTGCAAGTGTAGGCTGTCATTTTCGAACTGGAGAAGTAATTGCTCCATACGAATTTCCCGACCTCGCTCGATTTCTAGAACAAGCGTTGTCCGCCCCACTGCTCGTTCATATTCTTGCTCATAGTGTGCTGTGGTAAGTGCCATTCGGCACTGAGGAACTGGGTAAGTTTCAACTTGCATCTCGGAGTCGTAGAGCATACATACATCATCAAAACCCGGTGCTGACATTTGGACGAGAGAATTCAGTGTCGGCTTGCAAAGGAGATCAACAACAACTAAGTATAGCGAAAATTGAGTCGTTAAAACTGTACTATTGCGCCATGAAGTCTAGTTCGCCTGGGATCTGTGGTCATCTCTGTGAAAGCAGTCTGTAACGATATCAATATTATCAAGGTACGGGGGTAGCCAACGTAAGTTACCCGCCTTACCTCGCTATTGTTTGCGGCAGCGGCCGACACGCGTCTTTCAACTTCCAGCGGAAAAATTAGCTCGGCAGCTCCCGAAGTTGTGGACAGCTGGACTCTCTAGGTTGCACTAAAGCGATTGCGTAGTTATTGACACCATGCATCTACTCCATCCGGAATACCTCCTACACAGACATCGGATAATGACCAACGATACTTGCGGATCGTTCATCCACTGTGTTTTTCAGTGTTTCTTCACATTCGAGCTCAACAGAGCATCTTAAATGAGCCATTCTTTCAGACACTGGAGAAAATGAAACTCAATTATCTTATCTCTTTCCTTTGCATTGCGACGAGTGCGCTTTGTACGTCCTCAGACCCTGATAAGTACGAGAAATACAGATCGGTCTCTCGTGTCGCGCCGATTGAATTGACAGATGTTACATATGATGATTTGACCTCAAAGCCTCGCGATTTTCACGTCGCGGTTCTTCTGACAGCTACTGACGCTCGCTATGGTTGCGTCCTATGTCGCGAGTTCCAATCAGAGTGGGACCTCATTGCCCGAAGTTGGAATAAGGGCTCTAAGTCAGGCGATCTTAAACTGCTCCTCGCCACTCTGGATTTCAGTAATGGCAAGGAGACCTTCCAGAAGGTATAAGAATGATCTTTCTTCCTGAACCCTCTTGTTGTATTGTTCAGCTAATCTAATGAGGTAAAAGCTGATGCTTCAAACTGCGCCTGTCCTTCTCTTGTTTCCTCCCACAGTCGGCCCCTTTGCCAAGGTTGACAATGCACCCGTAAGATTCGACTTCACTGGGTAAGCGTCTCTTGGATCTGCCACACGAGTTCTCTGTTTTAATGAAAGACGTCTAGCCCAATATCTGCCGACCAACTCTACACATGGATCAGCCGACATCTCCCGGAAGGCTCAAAACCACCTCTCGTCCGCCCCATCAATTACATGCGAATTATCTCTGCAATCACCATCCTTATGGGCGTGATAACTTTGTTCGCGGTTTTGTCTCCGTACGCCTTGCCGATCATAAGGAACCGAAATCTCTGGGCCGGCTTTAGCCTGATTGCTATCTTGCTGTTCACCAGTGGCCACATGTTCAATCATATCCGCAAAGTGCCTTACGTCGTAGGTGATGGCAAGGGAGGCATTAGCTATTTTGCTGGTGGATTCTCTAACCAGTTCGGCATGGAAACCCAGATTGTCGCTGCCATTTGTAAGTCATTCACATTTCAGAGACACGACCATGTCCACACACATACTGATGATTCACTGTGATTGCAGACGCTGTTCTATCCTTTGCAGCGATTGCTCTTTCCATGAAGGTCCCTCGCATGGCGGACAAGAAAGCACAGCAACTGGCCGTCGTAATCTGGGCAGGCGTACTGCTCTGTATGTACAGCTTCCTCCTCAACGTCTTCAAGACGAAGAATGGCGGATATCCTTTCTATCTCCCTCCTTTTTAATTTCAGACATCGCCAGGGTTTAATCCTAGTCCTCTCACCCATTGGTGCGATATCCCTGCTGAAGCCTTCTTCCGCGGATGGGTTCGTGAGCTAGACTTTCTCCTTCATGGTGTTTCCAGGTCTTGAAAGCCCATCTACTCTGCATTAGCCTGCACTGCGACCAGGCGAAGGAGCTCGTGGTTTTCCCCTCCTTCAAAAGCCTCAGCAACCTTAGTCTTCACAATCAGTGTACCATTGTAATGCAGAAGAGTCCGCTTTTTTAACAGATAGAAAAAGACCATTCAGTAAATAGATGACATGATAGTCTGCAAAATGAAATAATAATCCTAGAACGCAGGATAGTAAAACATCTTAGATCGATGCAGTCACAAAGATCTATCCAGCAAGTACATGGATAGATACACTAGGAGCTCTTTCATCTTTATTACAGGCAGGTGAATCCTGGTAAAGTCATACTATGAAATGTGCAGGCCAGAATGTTTGCAGCCGTGATGTCCACAGGCTCCTCTACATACGCGGACCAAGTGTGGTTTTCACCCTACTGCGGCCGCGGCCGCAGCTGGGACTAGTTAGAGGGCAACATTACACCCTCTATCTTGATCCTGCTCAGCACCGCGTGCCTGAAGAAGTAAGTCAGTTCTGAAGACATAAGACTGCAGATTTTGTCTTATGTCATACTTGTACAGATCAGGATTTTGTTTCAACCTTCGTCATCCACACAATCGGTCCCAGCTCGCTAACACTTGCAGATTAGAAAAGATCATATGAGACGTGCAGAAAGCATGCCACTATGTCCAAGCCAGACCGACTTCGCACTAGAAGAGCTTTGGCATCATCGGTGTCGGGGACTACGCTTTTGGTCATGATCCAGTTGGTTTCGCGGCTGTTCACCTTCGTTGCTAATCAGTTGGTCCTGAGGAACCTATCACCAGCGACTCTGGGAGCAGCAACTCAGCTTGAGTTGTTCATGGTTACGATCTTATACTTCTCTCGGGAGGCCATCAGATTAGCCATTCAGAGACAGCCTCTGGATTCGCTTTCATTCCCCGACATGAGCAAACAAGAGAAGTCGCGCATAGCCTGCGACAAGAAAACCGATGCTCAATCTATGGCGACTCAATCAATAGTGAACATGTCCTACCTCAGCGTTGGAATTGGAATCGCGTTGTCTATCTTGCTCGGTAATTCCTACATACAGATGGCTGCTGAGCAGGTTGCTCAAACGTCTTTCTATCGCAGCAGTGTGGCAATCGTTTGTCTCGCGTCGACCTTAGAGCTATGCACTGAACCTTTCTTTGCTGTAGTCCACAGATATATGCTGTACACGACTAGGGCAACCATTGAAATGGCAGCGGCATTTGTAAAGAGTCTAACAACGTGTGGTCTATTTATCTGGGCGTCCTGGAATGGAAACAATGTCGGTATACTTCCATTTGCACTTGGTCATCTGTCTTATGCCTTGGTGCTTCTCTGCGGCTACTCTGCAGCTCTGTCAAACGCAGCGAGTAGATGGCATTTTTCGTTTCTGCCCAGTCGCATAGGAACAAGGTATGTGGAGGCAATTCCTATCGAATAGGACTCAGCCATGATAACAGGTCCAAGGGATAAGTCCGTTTATGTCCTGGGCATGTTCTCGTCCCAGTTGATCTCTCTATCTGCAAATCTCTTCTTCCAATCTGTGGTCAAGCATTTGCTCACGCAAGGGGACGCCATGATGCTCGCCGCAATGTCGAGCTTGGAGGATCAAGGCATATATTTCCTCGCTTCTAACTATGGTGGTCTTATAGCTCGCATCCTTTTTCAGCCAATCGAGGAGAGCTCTCGCACACTCTTTTCGTCACTGCTGGGTCTCAGTGACTCAAACGGAGAAGAATCAAGTAACATCGATGCTGCTAAGACGCATCTTACCGATGTCATGAAAGCGTACGGGGTTCTATCTGCTCTCATCTTTCCTTTGAACCCCGTCATAATTAAGCAGATACTTCGCCTAATGGGTGGTACAGAATGGGCTGGTTTTGAAGTCTATCACCTACTTTCGCTTTATTGCTTCTATATACCTTTCTTGGCATTCAATGGTATAACAGAGGCCTTTGTCTCGTCTGCTGCTAATGTGTCGGAGCTTCGATCACAGGCGGGCTGGATGGGGGTTTTCTCAGCATGCTTTGCGTTGGCGGCCTACCTTTTCTTGAGAGTTGGCGACCTCGGAGCTCGTGGCTTGGTGTACGCTAATATGGTCAACATGACAGTGCGCATACTTTGGAGTCTAAATTTCATACGAAAGTATATGCACAATCACGACAACGACATAACGTTGACCGAGTTCGGCTTGAGTCCTCATACCTATATTGTTGGCTTTCTAATGACCACAATCACAATACTCGGGCCAGAGCTGTTCCTCGACGATTTTCATGGTTTGATACAGGCGGCAGGTTTTTGCGCCTCCTATGCCATTCTAGTGTGAGTTACCCGTTGGACAAGACTTGAATCAGCTCTGACAGCCCTCTATGATAGTCTATATTTCGAGAGAACGTATTTGAGGGGATTGTACAACCGGGTTTGTCAAACTTGGAAGCAGGACACCTCACACCGCAAGACAAAGTAATACGAGTTCACTCGTCGAAAACAATCTTTGTCGCTGATTTGCTGGTATCCACATCCTTGAAGAATGCACCATACGCACCATGCTGCTTCTTCTTCACGGTTGTTCCAAACTTTAGCAAAGCGTCCGGTACTTCTTGCTTAGCTGCTCTCAGAACGTTTATCAACCTGTGACAAATTAGGGAGATGGCCACATTAGCAGCCTACACAAATACATAGGCTAATTGACGGTTTTGAGTACTTACGCGCCAGACTGAGCTTTATCCGTTTCTGTGAAGAGAGTAATGGCATCGCCAACGGCTCCGGCGCGCCCGGTTCTAATCAAACTCGAATTAACCACATTTCAGCCAAGAGAGAATATCCTTACTTACCTCCCAATTCGATGTACATAGTCCTCGACCGTTAGAGGAAAAGTGACATTGATAACCAGTTTGACTGACGGTATGTCAAGCCCACGGGCTGCTACGTCGGTGGCAACAAGTACAGTAGCCGCCCCGGTTTTGAATGCCTCCAGACTTTTGAATCTTTCGTGCTGGTTCAAGTCTCCATGTATCCCTGCGACTTTGAAGTTCTTGGTTCGTAAAAGTCTCTCGACACGAACTGCTTCTTTCTTGTACAAGCAAAAGACAAGAACCTTATCGGAAACTGCTGCGCCTCGCTGAGAGCGACTGAGCAGCTGCACAAGTCTAGCCTCCTTCTCCTGAGGCTTCACAACCTCGACCACCTGTTTAATCCTGGTATTAG